CAGAACTACTTGCCCCTCTGATCTTTGCCCTAAACAAACGTGCTGTTTATTCATATTGCTTCTCATTTATGAAGACCCACTAGATGCTGCATGCATACCAATGAGAAAAGAATTTAATCAACACTTAAGAATGAGTGGAGATTCCTCTTTTATGCACTTACTGTGACAGAGAATGCAGACTGCTTGGCCTGTTTCATTATGCTTGTTCTTTAACTCTTGGGATCCCCCCTCAGTTTAAAATGTAGTGTCTGGATCTCACTCTAAGCTTTACTGAACAATAAAAAGCTCTCAAGTAAGAAAAAATAATGTAGTGGTTAAATCATATGATGAGAAATCAGGAGATCATGGTGTTTCCACCACCACAAACAACATCACCGTGCCTCCATTCATGCCTCCATCACTTCACTTTGGGGTATGAAATACTGTGTATTCCAATAGCGTGGAGCATGAAACAAAATGCTGCTGGTTTGTTTAAGTCTACTTTTAAGCTCAGAAGAATTGAGAAAATCCAGCCACAAATTTACTGCCTTCTTGAATATTGAAATATTCAACATGGAGTTCTATTTTCATGTAAAATAAACAGTCCCTTTCTTCCAGTAGACAGTAAAGATTCGTTGCTTAAGTAAATCTACTCTTCTAATTCTGTGCTCAAACTCAGATGAGAATCCATCTCACATTCAGTGTCTAGCAGTGGGAATGCCCAACTTTTCCTTGCAGCAATGTGAGGAGCAGCAGTTCACTTTCCCCCTACCCCCAGTTTTCCATACAGTCAAACAGACTTCTGGCTCCACCTCTCTGATCTTTGGCTCTGAACTTGTCAGACTTGTCTTAAAATGTTTTGGATTACAGGAATGAGAAACAATTGTTTAATACATCCCTTCCTTAAAACCCCATTGCACAGGACATTTCCCATCCCTGCACCTCCTCCCTTCACGGCCATCAGTCCTTTCCTTTTACCTTCCCCATTCACTGCTATGATAAAAACTGCAGCCAACATCACATTCTGGATGCCTGGCAATTTATCTCCAGCGCAGTTGTTTCCAACAGATCCTTGACATTTTATTCTAGCTCATCAAATAGAAAGTCTCTCAGGTATTTTGTTTGTTTTCTATTAAAAATATCCATATTTACTCATTTGCCCTCCCATATTTTCTTCATTTTTTATCTGGCACAGAAAAGGTCTGAAATTCCAGCTTGTCCAGCCATGTGTTCCTTCACACATTTAAATTTATTCCATTCCCAAGCTCCTTGAAATAGTCACACTTGTTATGCTTAGTTTTAGTAATCTTTGCCCTTTATCTAGGGCATAAGAAATTCTAGCTTTGCTATGTTTCTGTTGGAGAAACTAAGGCATAAGTAACAGAGCCTGAGCCAGATCTAAATCTTGATTCTGAAGCACCGGGTCTGAAGGCTCTTGCTCAAAGGGCTCCCCTTTCTAGCTGCCCAGGTGAGTATCTCCAGAGGAGAATAATATGGGTGTCTTTCATCGTGCATTGAGCAGGAAGACGTAACACACCATCTGTACAGCTCTCTTTCTTTCTCAACATTTAAAGAGAGCTGATGACAACATCTCAGGAGAATTACTACAGGGATTGTACTTTGTATTTCAACAGCTAGTTTTAAGTTCCTTTGTAAGAATTGCGGAGAGGTGAAAGGTGTTATTTATGTCTATGCTGAAACTGGCCAGAGTGGATGTAGTCTAATTATCTAAGTCCTCATAAAGGCACTGAATTTTATGGGAAGGGTTTTTAAAATGTGGGGGTTTTTTTTGCTTTTTTTTTTTTTTAATGAAAAAAAATAATCAGAACTTCTCAATGTTCTTTGGACTGTAAGCTAAGTTGAAACAAGGTTGCCATAAGTAATACGTTATTACCATCAACAGTTCTCCCACTAAACATCACAGCACTTACCACTTTAGTGTAGAAGATTTTCAAAATACTTCAATATTCTTTTGAGTTTCTTATGGGTTAAACATTTTAACCAGCTTTGACACTGCAGTTAGTAGTCCATGAGATCTCAGTATCTCCAAAAATCTCCAAACATACGTAAATTACACTGTAGTTCAAAATTAAAAGAACCACCCACAAATACCAGATAGCCATCAGAAGACTATCAATGATCCCTTGATCAGGCATCTCTTGAATATCAGACCTCAACTTATTTTTCTTTAGAAACAAAGGAAATAAGCATAATTCAGAAAAATGAAGTGTAACATCCTTGTCAAAGGAAATATTTTGCTCTACTTCACAGTCACTAACTACAACACTAAACTCACAGCAAAACCCTGTAGTGATGATCCCAGAAGCCTCCATTTTGAATTCCCAGCCTTGCTATTTGCAGGCTACTTAATGATTTCCCTCCTTCTTTCCACTCCCTGAACTGATGAAAGCTAAATGACCAGCCAGGCTTCATTCTGGAGGCTGCTGTTTCCCTTGACTTTGCAGGAAGTGTGATTGTTGCTAAGTTAATACCATAAGCTGTAAACAAAACACATCGTTAATTTTCATGCAGTTGGCTCTACTGGAGGGAGTGAAAAAGAAGCAACGTTTTCTAACATGGTTTGCCTCAAGTTTTTAGCCTAAAGATTTTTGAAATAGACTTTGTTTTGTTAAACTCACGACTGTATTCACCCAGTGCACATACACCCACAGACACCATGAGATCCAGTACTGCTGTGGTTCTTCAGAAACCAACGGCAGCTGTGGTATTTTAAACAAAAGCTCCCAGCAATACTTATCTCTAACTTGGCACCAGTTTTCATCTTACTACATGTCATGTCTTTTTCTGAGCAGTAGTTGAACTTACTGGCAGGAAATATTTGTAAGACTTGCACAGCAATATTGTGTTCTATAACTCGCTTCAGCAGAATTTTCTAGGAGTTTTAACTCTCAGTTTTTGCTGATGAATATTTAGTGTGTTAAATGCAGGGAATAATTAGCATTCATCAAACCAAAACTAATCCTAGGAAGTGCTTAGAGGGAACTTAATTTACTGTAGATCTGAATTTGTTTTGCTATCTACACGCAGAAGAAAATTTATGAACTATGTGATGGCTCCTACTGGGAAAACAACGTGATGGTGCTGTTTGTGTGGTGTAAATGGGAAAGTATACTGGTGTTCAGTTTTGAAAGTCAATTGTTCTCCAAGCTGTAGAAAAGGAAACAATAGAAAAGTACTCTAATGAAGTACATTACATTTCATTGCATACCCAGCATACACGTGTAATATATACAACCTTGTAATGAGCTGTCTCTGTTCATTGAGCTTCATATCCAAAAGGCTGCTTATTCCCACCTCTGAAAATACTTGATACAAAGTTTATGAACAGACTGATTTTGCATTTATCTGATACGACTATGTATTTATTACAAATAACTGGTCTTAGAATTCCATCATAACTCTAATTTCACTAACCATTTGTGGAATTGAGTTACTAATATATAGTGAAAAGAACTGGACTGCTGAAATAAATTCAGTACTGTAAGTTGTCTCAGTTTCATGAACTGCATTTCTACTATTTTGGATGTAAATAGGATCATCTGGATTCACTTCCTTTGTCACCAATATTGCACACTGCCATTGTATTTTGTCTAAAGTAACAATGGTGATAACTACACTGTCTTTCAGTGTATCCATTAGAGCATTTTAATCTCAACTGCATGAAAATTAACTCTGTATTACTCCTACTTTGAATTTCCTTAAAGGTACTGCCTCAACTCTGTCCATTTTGCTAACTATGATTTCCTCAGTTCAAATAATCATTATTTTCTCATAAATTAAGCTACATTAAAAAAAAAAAAAAAACAGATTTTGTTGACAAGTTTAAGGACTTGCATTCATCAGGTACACTTTTTTTAATCCATAAGCAATGCTACTTGTGTCTAATGTAGCTGATAATCAGGGTATTTCCCTGTCTTAAAAAAGACAGGAGTAGCATGCTTTGAAAAATCGTTTTCTTTAAGAGAGATTTAGGATTGCTAGCAGTTCAGAAGAGCAGTGATCCCATTTGCAGGTGTGTGACTGTGTTCACGTGTCATTCCTTTTGATTTTCCAGTCTCTTCATCCCCTGTACTCAGGAAACTTAGATCTGAACTGCCTAAAGGCACCTTAATGATGTCTTCTGCTATAAATAACTGAGCACAGAATTAGAAGGCAGAAGTACTTCATACTAATCTTAACTTTGCTTTTGAATTAAGTGCATAGTATCATTAAAAGCTCCTGCAAACAAAATAACTCAAATCTCAGTGTCACTGAAACAAATGGAAACAAGTTTTGTATGTCTTTATGAAATGCAGACCACAAAACACGTATTTTTACGCATAAGGTATACTGAAATGTCTGACAAGGGCAGTATGAAAACCAATTGTTGAGTACATATGAAGTGTTTGAACCTGAGAAATACAACCCTGCTGGCTGCTACTGCTATCCACGTGGCAACTCATTCCCTGCAATTTGATTTGAGGAACTCACAAAAAGCCTTTAATATCAGCATTAAGGAAGATGATATTCTTGCAGAGCTGCTTTCTATTGCTGGACTTTAGGCTGAGCTGAGTCTTGGTCCAGTGCTGTAGCCTGACTTTTGTAAGCCTGGATACCATTCTAAGTGACTGGATGTAAGACTTGCTACCCTAGCTATAAGTGTGTTCATGTTAAAAATGAAGCATGTGCTCTATCACTGCCAGTGGAGAAGGGAGACTTTATGGCCAGAGTAGACTGTTTCCATATATATTTTCCAGAAGCCCTTGACATGAACTAAAAGCTACAGGCAAAATTTAGTTCTTATTATCTAAATATAAGAATAGTTGAAATGCACCTTCCTTTGATTCCAGCAGAAAAGGACTCAATGCAGTCCCTGGCACTTTGATTTCACAGGCATTGCAGGATGATGACCCTTTGAACAGCGTATTTTTCATTCAGCGTTCATATGTCACGCTGTGGACATTCATTGTGTTTTCTCCAAATTTCCTACAAGTTCACCTTACTTTGTCCTTTTTTTCCAGATCAGAAATGGTGAAATTTCAGCTTGCTTCCAGAAGCAGCCCAGAGCAGAAAGATGCAGCAGCGCTGTCAGATGGAAGATGCTGCTTCTCTGTTGTGCAACAAGATCGAACATCTCCCATGGGCAGAGCTGGGATTTCTGAAAACGGTATCAAGCCCAGTACTAAACTACTCCCTCACCTATTTTTAAAGATCCTCAGCAGAAAACTGATTAGATATTAATCCACCAAAGCCACAAATAAGCCTCAATATAGCTTGAAACCCTAGATTTAAATGAAAGGTAATATCGCAGCTTTCTACTTCTCCCTCCCAACAGTTTTGCTTCATGCAAGACTGAACATCTCAGTGTTATGACTTAAAGTAACCGTTTTTCCCTCATTATTTGCCTTACCAAAGCAGCCTTCCTTTCTTAGAAGTATGAAGTTTTTATTTATTTAATTCAACAATAAAAACCTCAGAACATCAGCTAAAATTATTTACAAGAAAACAGTTTAATCACAATACCTGGAAACATTCTGGCTGCTTCAGCAGCTCTGAGAAGATCTAACTTATTTAGCACATGTAGCCCTAACCACTGTCATAGCACCACTCACTTAAGATTCCTCATGGGACTCAATGAAGCATTCTTTGAAAATCTTCTAAGATCCTCAGGTTTGCTCAGACTGGCTCTTGCTGAAACTGACCTAGACTAGGATTTAGGGCTTTTAAAGAGATGACAACTTCTGGTGGATCATTTAACTGCCATGGTCGTTGGAGACATTTATGACAACGCCAAACTTCTCCCAGCCTCCTGCTCAACGCCAAGTAGACAGCAACAGCAAAGCAAATCCAGCTGCAATTCAATTCAGTGATTTTTGACACATCTCATTCAAAGATGTGAAAAACAGCTACCTGAGATCAACTGCAAGTAATAACACATCTTTACCACAGACTAAGAGATCTATTTGTAATGCGTAAAATTAGGCTTAGGGTATGTAATGGAGTTGGCAAGCAGCTGCTCAGGGATGCAAAAAAAACAATAAACATAAGCACAGCATTACAGCATGTTCTCCATTTGGCTAGGCTTACAAAATGAACCTGCATACACAAACGTTATTAAATCAGGCACTTATCCAGCTCAAAGATAGATTCTACATCTGATATATGTCACAGTTCAAGTTCAGAGAGCTTTCTAGCAGAAGTTTCTCAAATAAGTTTGCCAGAGAAGAAAAATGAGTCAGAACAGAACTGTGAAGTTGAACAAATAAAAAAAAAAAAGAAAGCCTGGATGTCCGGGATAAACCCAGATACAACAGGTGTGTGAATCCAGATATTTTCAGAAATCTTTAGTTACACTTCAACAAATATTAATTTCTCACAGCAGAAGAGCACCTGGATCAATGGAATTGTGCAAATTTTTCTGCATTAACTGTTACAAATTACTGCTTAAGTGTCATAATAACAAAGTGCTCTGTGATTTTATGAATGGAAGTGTTTTGTTAAAATACTGCCTTTACATAAAGAGAGATACTTAAGAACTTTGGCTTTTTCCTTTCTGGCTTCCAAACTTGCTAATCATAACCTACACGAGGGATGCCTAAAACAGCCTTTCCTACATGCATTTTCAAACAGAGCAGAGGAAATTATCACATAGGAAAGGGAAAGTATTGGGAATTCTTCAGATACGTGTGAGAATACTTTGAGGTTCATACACTTTTTGTTTATTTTTAAAAATCTAACCCAAGTATCAGCTAGCAAAAACAATAACCAGGTGCAAAAGGAATGCAGTGGATTACACGTACCAGTTCAAAGTTCTGAAGTGGCTGCATAGTGCTGTGTTCGCTGTGTTTGTGGACTCTGATCATTATCCCTTTAAATGCCTATAAAGAAAAAAAAACCATAAGGAATTAGTTCCCGAATAATGTTTATTCGTGTTCAGCCAGTAACTTATTGAACGCTACTGGAACCGAAACGTCATTAACACGCACGTGCCGAGCTGACCGAAGGCAAAGCAGGCAGCAGGGGCCGCCCGCCCTCAGCCGGCAGCGCCCGAAGGCCGCGTGCTGCCGGGCTCGATGGCGGAGCGCGGCTGCCCCCCGGAGGGGCTCCTGCCAGCAGCACGGCGCGGTGCTGGGCTCCAACGGCACGCAATGGAGCGCTGCGTCCGCTCCAGCAGCGCGAGCCTCCCGGGATCCAGCAAATACCTTCTTGGAGTAGAAGCAAGAGATAAATACAACGGCTTTTCTAATGTACAGCTTAAAAAGTATTGAAATGTTTCTGAAGCGGTACACGTATGCATACACGCGTTATGGGCACATCATTAATAACATACTTGGCACATGAGGAGGCATTAAGTTTACATTACAGAGATGCACCTAAAGTTGGTACCTACAGGTCAAATGTAAATCACCCTCCCCATAAAAAACAGTAAGACAACAAATCAGAGAAAAATTAATTCAAACTCTTGCACTCCAGATATACATTTGGAAGGTGAAAAACAAACAAAAAAAAAAGCCCACCCTAACAAATACAACAGTTTCATACCTGCTGAAGATCATATATTCAATTTCATACGTGAAAGGCAATTGTGCTCCTTAATAATACATCATCTATTCACACTTAAACGAAAGTAAAGAAACCTTTACCCTGCGAGAGGGTGCTGAAGTGCTCAGCATTCCTAAAATAATAATCTCTACCAAGATGACATTGCCCGAGCTCTAAGCCTCTTTTCACGGTTGAGGAAAGACCCAGTACTGTGCCTTACTCAAGCAATTTAAACCTCTGTCTCACTAGTGTCAGTTGTCGCAGCTGTGGTACATTGGGGTTGTTTTGCAGCTGAGCAGCTTTGATTTCTCAGCAGATGAGCAGCTGTTCCGGGCAGTGGAGGGCCAGGCGGCCTCTGATGAAGAGGAGGAGAAGTGGGCAGGAGACCAGCAGCCCGAGGCAGCCTATGTAAAGGAAATAGTGGCCAAGCTCCCTTGCTGTGGCAGTGGGTATGTTCCTGAGATTTGTTTTACTTGAGCCCTTTGAGAATGTTCCCTCGTGATCTGTGGGCACTGTGGCTTCAGTAAGAGGCAGTAATCTTGTAGAACCAAAATCAGCAGGCCCATGTGCAGCATGGGGCAAACAGTGACCTAAATGCTCACACCTAATCCTAATCAGCATCAGCTGGGACCTATTCATTGCCTCCTCTGCCAAAAGATCTGGGGGAAGGTTGGTTTGGGGTTTTTTTTGTGTGTGTTTTTGGTGTTGTTTTATATATATTTTTAAAACACAGATCATCATGAGTTTTCATTCACTTTTTTCTTCATATATATACTCATAGATGTGATGAAAAAAAACGGAAAAAGTTCATGACTTACTTGGAGACCAGCAGTGCTGATGGCTATGAAGCTGCTGAGGAGCTAGAGGAGCGAATCAGCCAGCTCTGTGAGCAGCTGGAGCTTAAGGGGCACGAGGTGAAGAAACTGGAAACAGATATGGAGGAGGTAACAGGTGCCAAGCATATGCTGAAGCAGTTGTTTCTGTACCTTTAAGTGGCTACGCCTGTATCCATATGAATTTTATTCTAACCCTTCCACTTTCTCTCCCTGGCATTTCTCCCTGTGCTACTCTTTTGCAAAACTATGTCATGCTTTCCCGTGCCACCTGCATTTTCAGCATGGCTCCAACCTGAACCTCCATTTGTTTGGAGGATGAAATGTGCACCAGCTGCAATCAAACCCAAGCTCTTCAAATACCATTCTTTACTGAACTGGCCTAAGATGTTCACTGATAGTGTGTTTAGGACAGGTGCTGCTATAGCCCAAAGGGCAATGCGCTAACAACAGGGTTACCATAGGCAGCTGTCAGTGGTCCCTCAGCTCTGGATGATGCACACTTCGTGTCCTCCTACTCCTCTGGGAGCACAACTTCTCAAGAAATCCCTCAGCTGACTGAGATGCAGATATTCGCCATTTTTCTATACTTAAAAGAAAATCATTTAGCTTAGTCTGGCCAGCTCTGAGACTTAAAACTAGCATATTTGTAAATCAAAAAGATAGTTCTCAGGTTTAGCAGCATGCTCATCTTTGCTTTAACAGAAGTTGTAACCACAGTAGTTCAAAGCCTCAGTGCAGCATCCTGATAGTCCCGTGTGATGTAACTTTAAATCCTGCAAATGGCAGACACTAAAAGACATAGATTTAAATACTATCAATCTTTCTATGAAACAAAATAGGACAGATTGCTGACTCATTGCAATGTAAATTTAAAATCAGAAGGATTAGTCATTTTGAGCCTGGTAGAAATGTATTCTTAAGGTCCTTTACATTTACTTACCCAGTATTGTATCTCGTGCACAGCTTTTGGTATTTTTTGTTGCTGCAATACAAGCAGAAGAGTAATAAGTAATTTCTGTCAAGACGTTTACCATCCTTGTAATCAGTACCACATGAACTGGAAGACTGAGAAATGCTCTCTCAGATCTGATTTGCAAATAAATATATTTGGTGGTTTAATAAACAAACCACCAAAACACTTTTTCTGACCTGAAAAAAATACTTTATGTGTTGCTCTATGTACTTCTGTTTGGACTTGCTCAAGGCTAAAGGAATAGAGAAATAACAGCAAAGCTAACAAGGAAACTCGGCAGGCAAGTGCAAAGCAACACTCTCAAACACTGATTAATAACTGATCCAATCTAACACTGTAAAACCAGGGTGAATTTTTTTCATGTCTTGAAAGTTCTTCTTTCTAACAACTGAACTATTAAAAAAAAAGTACTGAAGACCTGGGAGGAAGATGTCAGGACAGGGGCACAACGGGTGGAGAAAATATGACCAAATTCTAAAAATGCAGAGAGATGCTGCCAGGTGTTGTGTTGTAAAGAAATGCCAATGGTTTTCTCTAAAAGATCCCTTTAAAACTGTCAGTCTAATTAGAAGACAGTAATTAATGATCTGTCATACAGGTTCAAATGAAAAGTTCATTCTAACATCACATGCTTGATGGCAACAAGCAGTGGTTATTTAGAGAAAAGGAATGAAAAACAGTACAGAGAATTTTCCTCTTGGTATTAGTCACCTGGTTTCCAATGAACAGGGAACAGACGCACCTTCAACCAGACAATGCACTGACAGCTTCACGTTTAATGGCCAGTTTTGGAGCTATTTAACATCTACTTTCTCTACATCCTCTTTCTTTCGCTGTCAATGCATTTGGTATCTCCCAGCTAGGAGTCACACAAATTAGTTACAAAGAGACAAGCTTTGAGGACTTGTTTTTGTTCACTTTAAATCCGTTGCTGAATCATCCACTCTTACTTAGTTCTTTTGCTTGGGAAAAATAGCTTATAGTCTTTTGCAGTGAGTGTAACCAACTACTCCTAGCCTGCTTCAGCTCTCTTTGTATAGAAACCATTCCTTCCCTTATTCTATTTTATTTTTCAATGTACCTTTCAAGCTCTATTACCCTTTTTTTGAATGAGAAGAGCTGAATACAAGTCCATCACAGCATAATTATTGTTTCTGTTCTGTTCCCACTTCCTATTCTGATGGCTCCTAGCAAATATCCTTTTGATCTCTGGTGACCACAGAGCTATTCCCAGGAGATTACAGCTCTCCTAGATCTCCTTGAATTGCAGTAATCATCACTGCATGTTTATGACATGGTGTACCTTTCCTATATGCCTTATTTTGCTATATTGGCATTGAACTTCTTCTGCTCTTTTATTGCAGTTATTCAGCTTCATGCAATCCAGCAGTAATTCTTTGCAGGCAGCTTTGATTACATCCTTCCTCCCACCCCCTCAAAATGTATCAGTAGCAAACAAACACTTTGATGTTCACTCCTCCTCGAAATAATTAATGAAAATGCTCAGGTCTTAAATCAGATCTTTGTGAGATCCTTGCTAGTGAATGCTGACCCTCCAGTCTGGGTCTGCCATTCTGTGCTCAACCTCCATCTTTTAATCACTGTGAGTCCACAGCAGGAGCTACCTGCACTACTGTCCTATGGCAGTTACATTTTGGCTATGTATCTTCTCAAAACTTATTTTGAGAAGAACTTTTATTTACTTTTTCAAAATACACTCATCTGAATTAACATTATTCATACACGCTCTCAAATATATCTAATGGATTCCTTCTTTATGTTTGTCTACATATTCACCAAGTCCCTTGTGCATTACAGTTCCTGACAATTTGCCAGACAGCATAACTGATACTCCCAAGGCGATGTGCTGCTCCTCAAATCATCTCTGCAGCATCTCTTAAAAACTGGTGCTACATTGGCCACCCTCCATTCCTTTGAGGGTGAATTGATTTAAAAGATAGTTTGCACAGCACAGTTCATCACTTCATTCTGGAGTTTTGTTGCTGTTTTCTTCCTGTTCTGGGAAACTTTTCTCAGCTTCATTGCTGGCAAACATGAGACTAATATGACAGCCTCCTTAACTTCAGTAGAAAATACAATGCAGTCCTTCAGGGACTTCTGCAGACTAATTAATCATAGAATCATAGAATGGCCTGGGTTGAAAAGGACCACAGTGGTCACCTGTTCCAACCCTCTGCTATGTGCAGGTCACCAGCCAGCAGACCAGGCTGCCCAGAGCCACATCCAGCCTGGCCTTGAATGCCTCTAGGGATGGGGCATCCACAGCCCCCTTGGCAACCTGTTCCAGTGCCTCACCACCCTCTGTGTGAAAAACTTCCTCCTAATATCTAACCTAAACCTCCCATGTCTCAGTTTAAAACCATTCCCCATTGTCCTATCACTGTCCACCCTCACAAACAGCTGTTCCCCCTCTTGTTTATACGCTCCCTCCAAGTACTGCAAGGCCACACTGAGGTCTCCCCGGAGCCTTCTGTTCTTCAAGCTGAACAAGCCCAGTTCCCTCAACCTTTCCTCACAGAAGAAGTGCTCCAGCTCTCAGATCATCTTAGTGGCCATCTTCTGGATCCTCTCCAAGAGCTCCACATCTTTCTTATTCATTATCCTTCTTATTCATTATTCTAGCTTTATTTGCGGGCTGTACTCCAGAGCTCAGGTTTTTCCTGTAGCATTCTCTCCCTTTTTTAAGCGTACCACCTACCAGCAAACGGCTTATTCTCAAAACTGACATTTAGCAAGGTAGTATTTCCATTTCACAACCAAGGCGCAGATCCAAAATCGGGCTGTGCTAAGGGACTTGGGTAGAACCCAGGACACAGCCCACTCCTCTGAACCCTGCAACCCAATTATTATTCACCACCCCTCCTCATTATCTGAGTTTTAAAAATAGCTCTACAATCATCATTTTCTTGTTTGCAAATGTTAAGTTATCAGCAGCTGTTAGATGTAACCTATCTAGGGAAAGCAGTCAGAATGTTTTAACACTACATTGAGCTACTGTCTGAAAGCACATAAGATGAGAGAAAAAACCCAACATACACATACATACAAATGTATGTAAATATAACAGTATCCAGAAACTAGCATGCTTACGTAGGACAAGAAGACTGTTATACTAAAACAGCTAAGAAAAAAGGTTCACTACAAGCCAACACGACTAAAGCAGCAGCTGAAAGCAGTGGCAACATGATGGTATGGGCACAGGGACCTGGCAGGGTGTACCAGGATAGATGGGCACCAGTTACCATTTCCATGAGCATCTGTTTGACTGCATTTTTGGAAAGTCCATTTCCCACATAAAAATAATGACATTTCTTCCTTTTGTGTAACTTTGTATGACTGTTTCTGCTCTACAGGGAAATATAACCACTTCCTGTGTTTAGTGAACATCTGTGGCAGGTGGCATTTACAATACAGAGGCTTTCTGCAATGTAATAAAGGAAACCTTCTGTTTAACTCACTGAAAGCCTCACATAGCCTCTAGAGCATCCCAGTCAGACTGCTGCCACGTTAGGGTAACAAAGTTGGCTCAACATACAGGAAAATGTTAGTTTCTTTGTCTAAAAGGGTGTTCAGACAGTGATGTTGAAATCACTGTTTGCAGATGGGCCAGGTTAAGTGATTCAAGCTTCTGTAGCTGTTCTGAGATGTATAGCTCAGATGAGCTGGAAAGCCTCACACAGCAAAGCACACAGAGAGTTAATGTAACAGGGAAATTTGCATCTGGTGGAGCAATAAGTGCCAACTAACAGCCAACTTTTAGCACTGTCAGAAACTAAAACCTTCTGCAAGGCTCATTGTGAATCAGGGACTAATTTATTTTTTTACTCTAATGACATTTATGTGTATGGGAACTGAAATTCTTTCCCATTTATTAAAAATCCATTAGGATAGAAATCTCCACAAATAAAATCTATTAAGCACTGCATATATTGAGGTCTGCAGCCCTTCTGGTTCTCTGTAAATACTCCTAAAACTGCAATAAAGATAAAAGATGACAAACAAATGCCAGCAAACTTAGCATTTACCTCACATGATTTTGGTTTTCAGTGTAATGTTAATAAACAGATTTAGATTCTATTTGCAACAAGAAATTTCATAAACTGGTAATTTCAGAATGCTGGGTTCAGCAACGAGTGGGAAATGAAGTTCATAAAACTGAAATCTGTCAGTGCTCTCAAAGGTCCAGAATTGACATGTAAGTGTCATACTTTCCAGAGGATGCTTTCCAGGCTCAATTTAGCAATGCATCTGCAGTGGGTGTGGGTCTGTGTCAAACAAAGATGTTCACTTTTTCAAAAGGTGCAGTGGCATTCTAGTACAGTATTAGTCACTTAAGTTCTGCATTAAAAAGTAATGTTCAAATCCTAAACATTTTTTTTCACAGGCAGGTTTAGAAAACTAACAGATTGGTTCAGCTTTGGTAGGTCCAGATCTAAGAAGACCACTCCTGTGCAGAATTTCTGTAGATCATTCTAAAGTCTTGCTGAATCTGGACCTTTATGTGCTTAGTTGCAAAGCGTGCCAGTGTTTTGCAGAACCAGAATCTTGGAAGTCATTCTGTAGGACTTTTCTTTTTTTCCCTCAGCCAAAATACTTTGAAGAAATTGGGTAATTACCTTCCTGTTTCAGTGAATATACAGATAACTGACTTGGAGAAGCTGCAAGACCAAAACACGACGACATTGGTGAGGGAACGCGAATCAGTTATGTTTTATAGAGGACCACAGGAATGCAAAGCGTTAGAAAGCTGAAGTAGGAAAGCCAATACTTACAACTTACAAGATCTAGAATGATCTGCTAGCATCCAAACTTGAATGAATTGCCATTATGTGCAAGTGTGAAGCATGCATTTCCTAGCAACTATTAATTTTTTATGTAGTACATTAAAGAAATGTATTTTTCAAGATAATCTTCTCAAGAGAACTAACATTTACCAGATAAAGGGGATAACTCAGCTTTGCAATTGTTAGGCAAGAAAGTTAAAAGCTCCAGTGCTTTAATTCCTGTGTCATTATCCAGATGAAAGGCCCATTGCTAACTGAACTGCAGCAAAAGGTGGAGGAAACGGAAATGTTGAAGATGGAGCTACAGATGTTGGAGACTGAGAGAGTTAGGCTGTCACTGGTGGAAGAAAAGCTCATGGATGTTTTACAGCTTCTTCAACAGCTGCGAGACTTGGTATGGCAAGAAAGTAGTCCAGTAACTTAAAGCTCTTTATGATAGTGTTTTTTCAAACCAAGAAATGATATTCATACATTCCATTCAGCACAAAATCCTTTACACCAAGAAACATTTTTACATGCATTTGCCTTTGGAACTGCCTAGTGATTTCAAAAAACTTTTAAACTACACAGAATGACTTTCAAAAAGGAGTCCTAGAGGTCTCCTTGGATATGGGTCCTCAGGTTCTCATTATTTAGAGGAAACAAGATAAACTTCCTTTGAAATTACATATCAGCATGGACTACACGGAGGTGTGGTAAAATGCAGCAACAACACCATCCCCTTCAGTACATTACATGACATTATGGTGAAGGAAGTGAAAATATTTGTCAAGTACTTAGGTAAGTAGAAAGTGGCCTTCCAGGCTAGAATTTGGCTAAAACACTCTAATCTCTTTTTTCACAAACCTTTTTATGTCTCAGTCTCAAGTCACAAGTTCTAGAAAGCTAGGAAGTGAGCACTCCATGACAGCTTGTCCAGGAGCACCAGCAACACTGTGCTCAGGCTCAGGCTCTACCTGCTGTACAGCACCCGTGCGCAGTGGCATCTTCTGCCTTGCCATAGCAGCTGATCAAAGGGATCCTGCCTTTGCAAAGCACGGGCTCCTGGCACCAATGGAGGCCAAGGCCTGAGCCTGAACCTGAGGCCAGTGTTCTGTAGGTGAATAAGAGTCCAGCTTCTCCTCAGCAGTTTAGGAAGCCTGCAGCAAAATTAAAAAAAAAAAAAAAAAAAAAAAAAAAAAAAAAAAAGCTGGGAGCCTTTTTTAAACTGCATCCTACAATAGCATTGATTCAGTATTAAAGCAAAAATACCCCTTCTCATATACCAATATTGTATTTTTCTGTGAGAAGTTTATCTGATTAATAATCCAAGCATGGATTTATAAGGGTGGATACAAGGACATCACAGAAGTACACAGCCAGGGTGGTAAGCCTTTAGAAAACAAATCTCAGTCTCTTTCTTGGGGACTGTTAATGGCCAGCCAAAAGACAAGCAAATTGGGTAATCTGCAGAACATGGGGTATGTTGGGAGCCATACTGTACTGCCGGGAGCTAATATCTTTGATAATGATTCAGAATTCTCCTCAATTTTCAGCAAAGCTTTACTTAATCTGTGCGAGATGAGAATGCTTCCTCAGATGAGCACTGTGCTCTGGTAGGAGCATGTTCATGTTCCACTGATGACTCCAGGGAACAAGTGCAATATCTCATAATGTGGTAACTTATTCTACACTTGACAAGGAAATTCTCCTTTCATATTGTTAGTCTGACATATGCATCAATAACAATCCAGTGGAGGATTAAACTAGTAACAATTATGAGTGGCAGCCTGCATAATAACCTCCTGTGTCAAGACTTCAACATGTCATTCACTGGTCACTTATATTATTGCAAATCATTTCTGCTTAGGAGACAATCCATCTCCCAGCGTGCCATGTCTTGGTGATAACAGCACTTAATGCTAATCTTTGCTAGAAATAAGCCATCGCATGCTGCCAGCTTCCATAGCACGAGTACGGACAATGATGTTGTCAATGAACAAGAGATTTACAGCATTCCCAGTAGAATTGAGCAAGGATCCCCTAAATCTCTGATGGGTTACAATTCAAGCAAAAGAAAACTTATTCATCAGTAACTATAGTTTTAAATGCCTTTTTTTTTTTATTTTTATTACATATTCCTTCATATTACAAACATCCCAGTATCTCATTTGCAACAGAATCTACTAGAGAGCAATGACTTTCCAAAGGCAAACACACTTTGTCAGGAGTATTAAAAGCTCACAATGTGTTGCAGAGATCCTGCATAAACCCAGCCTGCCACGAAAGTCTCCTTTTCTGGAGATATTCAAAACCTATCTGGACACTTTCCTGTGGAATCTACTATAGGGAACCTGCTTTAGCAGCGGGGTTGGACTTGACGATCCCTAAACATCCCTTCCAACCCCTAAGATTCTGTGATTCTGCTATTTTTGATTCTGTGAACCTGTTTTTTCACTGTGCACCAGCCCCACTGGGGCAGATAGGCAGAAGGCAGATGACCGACTTTAGAAAGCAGTGGCAATGTTGCCTGAGCTGCTGGTAGGTGCATCATCTTTCCTCCAGAACAGCTTTCATCTAATTTCAGTTTGCAAAGTTTTAACAAGAACAATCTGTCCCTGCAGACATGGAGGCTCTAAGTGTTAATTAAAATAATTGCAAGACCATTTCCCATAAAGCATGCATTAGTGTCTAGATAGCAAAATTAAGAGAGTTTGCTTTCCAGATTATTATGAACGTCACAACAAATTTCTAATATAAAACTATTAGTAAAGCAGACTGTCCAAATCCTATGTAGTTTTTACAGTCCTCTTTTGCTAATGATTATTACATCTCAATCTCAAGGTAATAGCAGGCCTGCCACATGGCATAAACAATCTCTGATTTGTCTACATGTAAAATAGTCCCCAGTAAATCTTAGAACAGATGGGGCTGAGAAGCTCCTTCTGAAATAACACTACAATATTTGACCATTTCTTTTTCAACACAGGCTTAGCAGAGGCCTGAACATTTATTATGCACCTGCTGCTTACACTGCTTGCCATCTAGATTTGTTCACACACAAGACTCAGAAAACAACACTGACTGACTACAGATTCTCTTTTTACATCCACATTAAGGGACTGGGGACAAACTGCCGTTACTTGAGCAGTATCTAAGTTAAAATGCATGAAAATAAAGCCAGTACCAGGTCTTGCATCATCAGGATTCAGTTTTGTTTTGATTTTTCAAATGCAAACACACTGTGCATAGATTTTACTGCCTACATTTAAAGTGGTGAAGAACATAATTGTGCCATAATATTATCTTGTTTTTTCAAAGAACATATCTAAGCGAGCCTTGGGGAAAATCTTGCTGAGCACTTTGGAATCCTGTCATGACCCCCAACATGGTAAGAAAGTAAATCATGCATGAAGACCAAGAAGGATGAAAATAGTCCTTTTAGGAACAGCACTGGATAATGAAAAAACAAGTGTGAAAAAAATATTCCAAATGCTGGGGGAGAGGGTGGGGAGAAAGAAATATTATCCAGGAAGATTGCGAGGAGACAATGATGCTTTCTAGTCTACTACACTTCAGAAACAGAAAAGCATCCATGGCATTTTTTAGCTAGATTGTAATTGGAGTTTGGCAGCAGGGGAACAGTTCAGTACTCCACTAATGTCATTAGGGCCTCATTCAAAAACATGACGCTGAATATGTAAGCCAGCTATTTATTAGGTTCCTCTCTGGGTGCATGTCGTATTCTTGTTCTGCAGCAACAACAAGGGATTAAAAAAATATTTTCATAAACTGCTTCAACCTTGAACTCCTCTAATAATCTTTCATTTTCCCCTTATGAAAATTCAGCTTGCAATATCCTCTCCCTGGACAAGTGTCTGGTCCAGTGTACCAGAGCTGCTTTTGTAGGAACTATACAGGGATCACAGCCCAGAGGTTTAGACTTGATTACTTTGTTCCTATTAGCAGAGCATTTGTACTTACCTTCAAAGAAGGAACATTCTGTACCAAGTTTCAGAACATGGTTTGTGGGGATTTTTAACAGGGAGATGGTAATCAAAGACAAGATTATAGAAGAGTAGATGTGGCCCAAAGGTTTGGTTTTAGAGAATATTAGTAACAGTGATTTAGAAAGAACGAATACAAAGCATCCTGGGTTTTTCTGTTCCAAAGCCTTGCTGTTACTACTGTGCAGCAACTGGCTCCAAGACACCCATACAGAAGGACATTGTATCTGACCTATAGATCAGGTATTGCCTTGTCAAACACAAGAGGAGACTGGGAGAATCCACACTACACATGTCCAAAGGCACTACTCATGCTGCAGGGGAGTGGTGACTCTGAATGATGCTGCTGAAACAAACTACCTCCCTCTGTAACTGCAGCACAGTTCAGCTTTCTAAAATGAGTTAAATATTGAAGTAGCCTTTGTGAAGCTCTCTGTACATTCTGTATCACCATTGCCATAAGCTCTTCACCTTCTCTGCTTTCCATTTTCTGACTGTGCACTTAATGTGACTTAAGCAGCTTTCCTAAGTCTCTGAATCAAACATTTCCTACATGTTTGACAAGACTAAGTAAGTGGATGGTTGGATGAGCAACTTTTTACTGTGATACAAAATAGTAATTTTTATACAAGTACATGAGAACTCAACAAGCAGTGAGTAAAGCAAGAGAAATAGTAAAGAAAGCAGACCCTTTTTTTGTAGAAATGGGAATTCATCATTTGATCTCAGAATGTAGATATTGTTTGTTAACTACTTGCACTGGTACCTGTAAAGAAGACAGCTTGAGTTATGATAGCTTAAGCGCAAATTTCTGTCTTTGTTCAAATGATAATGTTTGTCATTTTCTTTTTAAAGGAAAAGCCCACCTGTTTGAAGTCCTAGATACTCTTTACCATGAGTTGACAGCCTGTGAAATCTTACAAAGCCAGCCTCTGGAGAAGGCTCAGAGTCGCCAGTCCTTGTCTAACCCACTGGTCATCTCCTGCTGAGCAGCAGTGCCAGCTACAGCCACACGACCAGCTGAGCAACAGCTCTCATTCATTCAAAGATGGGACGAATGAATAAGATTTGTCAAATTCAAAGTAGCTCAGTAATGGAGAAGAGCAACAGAATAATAAAGCCATGATATCAAACGTCTGCCATTTCTGGGAAGAGCATTGGTTTGTCAGCTAACATCACGTCCTCCCTTAAGTTAAAGAGCATTACCTTACTTAGCAGCTTAGCCACGCTTGCACAATGGACCTGGAACTGAACTGGTTAACCAAATAAAAAGAATTCCAAATACATCAACCTGACCCATTTAGATTTACAGCCCTGGTTATGCGCTGCCTGAGCACAAATTCTAGCTTTTGTCATAACTCAGTTCAAAAGCAAAAGTCTGCCTATGTATTCAGTGGCAAGTAAACTGCTTCTGTAATATACAAGTAACCAAATGACTATATTAAAAACATACACTCAAGTGTATGCCAGTAGTGCAAGTCTTAAGGACTCATGTATAAAATATATTTGTGTGCGTCTGTATATGTGATTCAGTTATTCATTTTATTTAATGCTAAAGATACATTTGCTATCGCTATGCTGAATTTCATATTTGCAATTACACAGATGCCTACAATAGCCCTTGCTGACAAAAGGCTTAGATTTTATATTAAAATTTGCATTTTACTTCTTGGAAAAGGTATAATACAACATTGCTCCCCAGCCCAAAGGGAAGGACTGAAACATTCACTTTGCAGCAGCTGCCATTGTTGCACAAGCAAAAGCCACGTGCAGTACCTGACCTTGTTCTCTCATTTAATTTCCCTCAGTGCAAGTGGACTTACACAAAGATGGATTCCACTAGCAAACAAATTAAAGTAAAATGCTGAGCCTAACCATGGTGTCATTTTAATCAGCAACCAAATAATTCCTGGGGGCAGAATTGGAAGAAAAATACATATTGCTTCCATAATACTTTCACTGTTTTATTCAACTCTCAAACATAGAAATTAAGAAGCAAAGTCCCTAAACCATTCAGTTGAACTTACGTTATTTAGAAAATGCACTGGAGATCTTCTAAGAATATGAATTTATTTGCCTGAGATAGTGCCAGCGATGAAATAAGGCCATTCAATTCAGAACTGTGCATATATGAATTTTTTTTCCATGAAAATTGATTTCATATGAAAAAAAAGATCCATGCCACAATCCAATTTGGGGATTAAGAGGATTTCTATTTCTTTTTGTTCATAATGCACTCTATAGCTTATATATGCCTAGGACTTTCCCAGAAAGAGAGAAAATGTCATGAAGTTATTAGATAAGCATGATCTGTGTGTATATTTGGCAGTAGGAGCATTTCAGAAATAGGTTTGTAATACACGTACATGCCTGATTATGGCTACCTTAATGTATTGCAGGATTCTATCAGCATCCAAATTAGTAATATTTACTGTATCCACTCTAGATATACATATGCATGTGTACTTGTATTATATATACTTAACAATGCCTTAATAGTGCTACGTTAATTGTATACTTTTTGTATCTTTTTCACCAAGTTTCTACTTAACCTTCTCATCTATTTCTCTAGATGTAAGCAGACTGATGTGCTAATAACAAAAGAGGGGAGGAGCAATACAGTCTGAGTGAGTGCTGCCCAGCTCAGCCAAGCAGCAGTTGAGCCGTAAACAGAAATTGGAAAATGCCACTTATCTCCTAAGCTGGTGTTAAGGAAATAGCAAACAGCTGAGATAAATGGAAGATTTTCTGAATAAACAGACACCATTTAACTGACATAGGAAACACCTAAATCATATCTTGTTAAGTTAGCTTCAAATAACAACATCTTTATTTCCTTAGAAATGGCTATATCAAAATGATTTTTGATACATCAGCATATCCTGATTAATCTTTAGAGTTGGATTTCCCTCTGTTATTTTCAGTGTAGCTGGAGAGAATGTTTCATTGCTGCAGCAATTCAGGTGCATATAAAAAAGGCTGATTATTTTAACTTCAAAAGGCAATTTGTGTGGAGCAAGTCAAACTTACAGTATTTCCCAAGAAGAATCTTCTTCAGGATGGATCAAGAGGCAGCCCTCATATCCTGTAAATCAGAGGCAGAATAAGGCATTGTGCTTTTTAAAGACCTTCTTTATTGACCTTAAAATTGATTATTTTCTGAAATACTTTTACCTCGATGTTTTATACTAAGTCTGTCAACCTCAGTGTTACTGGGGCTGATTAATATTTAATACAAAGCTGTATAAATCTCTGATTTTAGATCAATGTAACTGAGAAATTTCTAGCTCTGCCTCAAAAGCAGGTAGGCTTCCACAGCTTAATTTATTATTTGGAATTCATTCAAGAGAGACTGTATAGAAATCCTGAGAAGCAAACCCAGCGCCCTAGGTTTTCTGGAGACCTCCTTCAGTCCAATTACCTCAGCAGATTTCAGCTTCTTTTTATAAAAAAAAAAAAAAAAAAAATCTTGCCTTTTGTAGTGTTTGAATTTTTACCAAATAAACAGAAATACCTGATCCTGTCTCATTATTATCTTCACACCATTTCAAACATTAATGTGGGAGCAGTTATGACCCGCACTGTTGGCTGCATAACAAATGCCTCCTTTGAGTGGCCCTTGCTGTGTGATTTCTCATTAGCATGTGGATCTTAGATTTTCAGAGATGAGTGCTTCACATTGCAGGGAACAGATCACCTTTTGTAAAAAAAATTGCTCACATGACAAAAACTGAAAAGATAACAGAGCACATTCAAGAACCTCCCATTTAAAAAGTACAACTGCAAACCCCTATCACAGATCTCTGCAAACTCTTTCATGTTTGGCACACGGTAATAAAATGGCCATTTGCCTCCATGTTTACTTGTCAGTTAAAAAAAATTCATAGCACATGTGCTGCAAACACAGCAAGTGTAATTGCCCATCTAAAACTTTGCATACGTAGTCAAAAGCCCTCAGAACATACCTTCCCAGCATTTCTTTGTTCAGTAGGAAGAACAGTATGGAAGAGCACACATGGCATGCTACCAGATGAGACCAGAGCTCTGCTGCACAGGTTCCAGCTGGTAAAAGGTCACTTAGGTCTTGGCTGTAGAAGATAACTGAACTATTGTCTTTGTTTAAAAAGCCAATGGGCATCTATAAACGGGCTAAAAAGACTGCAAGGGCTAAATAGTTATGCTGGATTTGAGACACTGTAGTTGAGCTCCGGCCTTATATCATGCTTGATTTCATTCTGCCACCAGCATGCTCATTCCAAAATCTACATTTATTTTTTCCCAGATAGTAATTCCATTCTTACAGAAAACAGAAAATTTCCTTTGATTTATGTCTGCTGGAACTCCCTAATATAATTAATTTCCCACAGAGAATTCCTTCCTCACCACTGACTACAGAGCAGTAAGTCCTCAGGCTCTCAGATATTACGCTTTAACACTGATGTCCACCCTTTCCCCAAAGAGCTGCCTGGAATGGTCCAGCACTTCCAACCTCACCCCTACAAGTCTCCTCCATTTTTTACTTACTACAAGTTATGAACTACTAGTGTTTTAAACTCCACCTGATATATAAAATTATATAATGATTAAACCATTTGTTTTCATTGAACTTCTCTCAAACAGCTGAAAGTGACCTCTTGTCACCTATGGGATTTACAGAATTTTAGCACCAAATGAATGTGGAAGTCTCCAGCCAGAGCTGCTCTAAAAGGCTCAAAACTGGTGTTTGCATACACTTTGGGAAGAAAAAAATCCCTGGCATTGGCATGTATGTTAGCTGAATTTGCTGACATTGAATTTCCTCTCCTTTATGATACAGTCAATTAATTTACTAGATGGTGCATTTCATGATAAAAGACTGTTTAGACTTCAGTCTTTGTATTCATTTTACTGCTAAGAACACTATTAAACAGTGCTGCATAAAATGGAATTGCTAGGTATGATAGAATGACAATACATATTCCCAGCATGTGTGTCTTATCACATTACCAGCCGAAGGGTTTCTCATAGATTTATAATTTAATGGAATTTAAAGACATTCAATCCTTTTATATTTACATTATCTTATTTGTTTAATAATTTTATTCAGAATTCTGCATAATGCAAAAGCACCAGAGTGTGTTTCTTAGTGTGCAATTCAGTTGTGCTCCAAACTACACTCAGATATTCTATTCTGTGTGGGTTTTTTTGTATGAATGGCACTCTTGAGAGCATGACACAATTACCCTACAAATTACTATTTTATGATTCTGCCTCAAAGAACTATGAGCTAACTTATCTTTGTCAAGGAGTAAGCAAAGACTGTAGGATGACATTGAAAAATATCACCATTCAAGTGGTTTTACCCACATCCTCACTGCAAAGCAAAAAGGTCATAAGATCTAAGTGTCTGTAGTTGAAAATAATTTTAGTTCTTGAAGAAAGTTTCATTGTTCTGGCTGTGCTGACTCTTTAGTATTGATTTTTTTTTTTTTTCCAAGTACGAGTGGAAAAAATTACTCTGATAAAGTAAATGTTCAGTACATTATCAGGAATTTTCTGTCTGGATGATGGCAAATAAATAAATAAATAAATAAAAAACTGAAGAAAAAAAAAAAAACACAAGAAAAAAAGCAAAACCAGAAAATACATGGAGGGTCACATGAAAGCTGAAAATACAAGGAGACAACTTGCCCTAACCATATTTAGACATCCCTCCCCTTCCTCCCCTCCCCCCAAAAAAAGAGCAATAGCAAGGGAAGGTCATTTTGTTTTTAAACTGATTATACATTCACAGTGCTAGTCCAGCACTGCGTACTGCTTGCTTTCTTGTCAAGCATTGTAGCTCTAACCAGCAGGGATCAGCTCTGAGGACACCCAAAGAAGTCAGTGCTGCTGCTAATTGCTCATGAACAAACATCTGTCATGTGCTGGGCTGAGACACCACTGCCTCATCCACTGAAAGACTGATAGTCACCCAAAACCGTCACTGGGTTTTGAGAGTCATTTGAAAGACTCTTGAATGTGCTCAGATTTTAAACACAACAGCCTCCCAGGGCCCCTCTGAGAGCTGCCATTGAGAGTGTGTAGCACATGCTACTACCATGGAAACCATTTCTAGGTCACCTTTACATAACAGCACAGAGAAAACATCACCAACTCCACCATTACAGCACACTTCTTTCCAATGAAGAATGCAGTAAACAGCTTAACTGTTACTGTAATTGCACATAATATGCCACAAATAACAAGGTATACTCTTATCAGTATAAAAATGGGAATGTACAGACTATGTGTGAAGTGTTCTCTCAGACTCTGCTGTTACACTTCTAGTCTTGTAGGGAGGGAAGCAAAATGCCTGATCCCATGCATCCATTTTGTAACTCCAGACGTATGACAACTTGTGTTAAAGTAATGCTTTAGAGAAAATCATTAATGCTAGAGAGAATCTATCAAGAAGGAAAACACAACTGGAGCTGCTTTTATGCATCTGGCTGAAGCTACATATAAATAAAAGTGACAGAACTAATAATTTGAGTCACAAAATCAGATTTAAGGAGTCACTGAACCGAACAACAGTCTAGGGAGTAGAGACAGAAAAGGAACGGGAAACATTTCAAATCCCGAAACAGAAATATTTCAGGACATGAGAAATAAGAAATAATTGCATATCAAATGCTTTTCTACTCAGAGAGCACCAAAGGTTTGCTGATCCAGATGGGAGAATCTGAGTTTTTTGCATTGAACACTCTAACCTAATTATTTGAAGTATGGAATCAAGATGTCACATCTATGAAGGAAGTGTCTTTAGCACGGAATTTGGAAAGCAAACTTGTTAATGAACATAAAGAAGGTTTTTGTATTATACTGATAAATGTGAACATTTTATTTCTGTGGTGATATTTTTAACAAAAATGTGTTGCTCTCACTTACACTACATGATTTTTAGCTTATGCATGTAGCCCTCCATTTCAACAGCTATAAAGCCTCAAGAAAGACATTAATATTTATAACTATTGTTTGGTTTCTTTTTTCTAACTTTTTTTTCCAAAGAGAGAAGAATTGCTCATCTAGAAACCATTATTTCATAAAAAGGCAGTTGTTGCAAGTCATTGAGTGTTGACCTCAATCTATACTATTCTACCGAATGTACAAATCATCTCCAAACTCTTTCATGTCCTTTTTCTATCTCCCATATGAACAGGATGGCAGCAGATGTAGAACTGAAGCAACACTGGCAAAGTAGAACTGCTGCTTTTGTATGTGGCATTTAAAATGTTACCACTAATATTTTAAAAATTTTGAATGTGAAGAACTTCATGGCAAGTTAGGATAAAAATCTTCCTTTTTTGAGGAACGTTTCGGAAGGTACATTAGCAGAACTTGGATTAGTCTTTGAAAAAGTCTGTAAAATTAGGGAGAATATAATTCAGTATAATTTAATATAAGCTTAAATATAGATTACTGACTAGTAAATCGTATGAGAAATAACTAAACATCATGCTTGTTTGTACTATAAGACCACATAGGTCTAAGAGATCAAATATTTGATCAACCCACATAAGTACAAATAATTAAATATTCAATAGCCTATTGATAGAACGACATCATCAGAGAGGAACTAAGAATACAGAGGTACAGGGTTTTGCCCCAGAATGGTACTACATTCAAACTGCAGCACTGCAACAGGATTACACCCACCTTCACACAACAAGTCTGAACAGTACAGTAGCTAGAGTAGCCATCTGGGAAAAGTGGAGTGGAAATCCAGTGCACTGGATCAGGAGGGACTTATATCACAGTGTCTTCCAACCTAGATGAAGGACAATGGAATCTTGGGCTGCAGGTTAGAGATTGATCCTTTCTTTCTGCTCAGCACTGTATCTGTAGTGCTGAGTGCAGCACTTGCTTCTGGTACAAGAGTCCTTTCCTGAATTACCAAAGGGAGCCTAGTGAGTGGCCACAGAGATGATCGACAGACTGGAGAAGCTGACAGAGAGGCTGAGAAAGAGGGTGAGAAAGCTAGGGCTGCTCAGCCTGGGTAAGACGGGCTTTCTACCCTAATAGGCAGGAACAGAATTAGTAACAAAAATCAACATATAGGCCCAAGTGCTACTAAAAAATAGAAAGAACCAAATCCAGCTATTTGTACATATTCTTTGGAAATTCCTTGTTACAGACTGCAGATTCAATTCACTTCTGTGCAGATAAATAAACTCTGTAAATAATTTTGAAGATGGACCTGCTATTGAATGATAACATTTTGGAGACCTGGTTAGAACTTCTGCTGAAAATTAACAGTTGGAGATCTTTGGAAGATAGTGGAAGTGTAGTTTGACTGGCTCATAAATTGTCAGACAAATAAATAGCAAATACAATTCACATTTTCCCTTATTTTTTCACTGTCACTCCTTTTCCAGCCAATATTACATAAAAATTTCAATGCAAAGTACTGCAGCTACAGACCGAGGAGTGCTGACAAGTCCCTTTGTGGCCTACAGTGGCTATGTTACCTCGCAAGTGTGTTCAGCAGACCCCCAGA